AAAGTCCGCAAAAATTTTGGACATATAATCATAAAAAGTTTAAAATTAATTATTTCAACGTAATTATCGATGATTACAACACATCAAATTATATCACCATCGGCAAATGTATTACAAGATGGCTAGTCATTTTGAAAAAGAAACATACTTAATAGTAAAGGTAAAAAATTTGTATAACATGGCATTTGGTGTCAAAGGGAATTCATTAAAAGTTCGTGCAATAGAACTAAAGATACAAGAAATTTTTAAGTATCTAAATTTTAACATAGCTAAAAAGTTGAGACCACATGCGAAAATCTTGTTGAACTATTTCGATGTAGCGAGCTCGTACCGAAGCGCATCGATGACAGTCGTCATCCGTGATACCGTTGATGCATTTCTAGCCTCGTGAATGAACGTCTCCCCTGTCAACTGATGCGGGAACGACGATGGAACGTGATTGCAGCAGATTTTATAATTAAGTCAATTATTTATGTGTGAAAACATGCGCGATTCGCATCGCGGCATCGGATGCACGACGCGCGACGAAAAGAATAACAACCAGCTTTAGGGTGGCTCTGTTTGGACTATCCGTTGCTCGGCGACGTTAGATTGATTCGCAGTCGGGCCGTTTACATAAAGTTTCCAGAAGAAATGGATATTGCAGTCTAACGGATATGCAATTCGTTCCGAAAGGATGACTTTAAACGTCCGTAAGGAAGTTGTAAACTTTTTTAATAAAAATAATTTCTTTTCATAAAGAAGATATCCTTAAAACTATACACTTGAATGAATAAGACAAGAATATTAAAGCCACTCGTACTCATTGAATAAATATTACGATCAGTTTATTCAAGTGCACTTTGTTAAATTAATCCAGTATCAGTTTGTGCAATCGAATTACGTAGTCGAAACCATGAAATACAGTTGAGTAGCAACATTAATGAGTTAACTACGCGAAATTGACGTATTGTTTGACCGTTACTGAGAGTTCACAAGCCCGCTATTGAGCTGTTTTGCATGATTTGCTTGATACATATTGCACCATTAGCAGTTCTCAATGAGTTTCCAATCCAATAAACCTCAATAAATATCAAACAAACCGCGAATTTGTTTCTCGTTTTATTTAGATTAATACAGTTTTACTTTTAATATCTTTTTTTACTTTGGTTAATCTAGCTCTCGTATTAAAATTATTTGCTTTTTTAATCATTATGGCATTTTGTTTTTTTCTAATCTAATCTTACATATGTGATCTAGTTAAATAACTTTCATGACGTAACGCGATATTTTGCAATTACGAGAGATATGTACTTGGGGTGAAATCGAATAAAAAACAAACGATGCATTTTATCACAAGACGTAAAAATCGACTTTTTATTTATAAAATAAATAAAAATTGCTGCCGGAAGACGAATAGTGGGGACAGGAAGAAATGGCCGCATGATGTTATGGTCTCTTCTTTAATATGCCGCACAGAATTTTGATGTTGACGAAATGAGATGGAAAATGGAAATAGACGAAAGGACCCAATTGTTCATCAATGTTCATACGATGCGTGTCATATGTAGCGTCAAGGTAAAACGAAAAGATGAGAGAGTGTCGGGGGGAGGGGCTTTTTTCAAGTTTGATTGCCTGGTCTTTCTGGGAACGGTCCTTGGGAGTGGCCCAAGTCATGGCAGCTATCCTGAGGCAGTCGAATTCCATTTCGATCTGCCAATATATTGCAATTTTTTTCGCAACGGTATTCCTCCGTGATCCTCGACCCTCGGACAGGAGATCCTCGACCATCGAAGCCAGATATCCATAATCCTCGGCGAGCGATCTCGCAGAATTGAAACGTCTTGCCGAAGAGACAAAAGAAGGAACTCTCGACAAAGATTTCATTCGTTGTTTCGTTCACCAATCGTGGTGGTCGCTGATTTGCTGCCTCATATCAACCTCAGGATGACGCGTTCGGCATGGACCACTCCAGACCAGCGAGTCTGCTGGCTCAGGTGATGGGATCTAATGCCAGCCGTGTCCGTGTCCGTGGACGGCCACGTTGGCGACCTGAGGCTCGTAATGCGGCGCCGGGATGTAATGATCGACTCCCACCAAGTGCGGGTGCCCTATATGAGTTCCAGAGTAGTGAAGGCGGGTGGTGTGGTCGTTACCGTGGAGGGCGAGCGGAAGAGTTTTAGGGGCCGGAATGGCGGGTTGCCCATTGACATGGATGTGCTCCGCATAGTGGCCCTAAACATAAAAGAAGACAAGATGTTTTATTAATCTCTAAAGTAACTACTCTCACTTATCCATGCTATTACGTAACTGAAGTGATCGGAAAATCTAATAATCTCAAAAAATTTCCAGGAAACATAGTCTCCCATTACGAAATTGCGAGTGAATGCAAGAGAGTATTATAGCTTGGATAATAGGGACTTCGGGACGGAAATTGCACAAATGAGCGTGATCAATTTGATACAATTGCGGCTGGATTTCGACATCGAGATAATAGATTTAATTAAGCAGAAAATTTAATGATAAGTCTAGGATTATAGATATTGATACTCTTCAGCTGTTGCTTTACGTTTAATTATCTTAAAACATTTCTATTAATTTCATATTAATTTTTAATATTTTAATATTTTGTTAGAAAATAGTTATATTATGTAACTGTTTAATTATTTGTAACTAGATAATTATAATGTAAAATTATACATTTCTCTATAATAGATTATTTCTTGATAGCATGTAATTTGTAATTTATAAACGGCGTATTAACTTAGAATTCGATAAAATAATAATATCCAGATATGTGAATAAAGAGAAAAGTTTTACGGAATATTGTTAAAACTAAACTTTTTAAAATAATAATTATAAAATACTTACAGCACTGGCAACCGCCACAATGGCGAACAGAACAATCTGTAAGAGAACACACAAAAAATAAAAATTTAATATAATAATAAAACATAATATATTCAAAACTTTAGACAAGTTCTAATTTAAAAAATTAACTCTACCTATAACAATATAATAAATAAATAAATAAAAAGAAAGAATAATATACCACCAGACAAATAAAAACTCAGAAGAAATACAAGTAAAATAAAATATGTCAAATAAAAGATATACAATTTTAACACGATACATTAAATAAGATAAAATTAGTTAAATAATTAAGTATACAAGATTTAATATTTTTCTTTACATAAATGTAATGTAAATTCTATATACAGATAAAAGCATGTAAGTTGAAGATAAAACTGAGAAATCAACGTCGACGAAGTCGTTGCGAGTGAAGGGAAAAACTTACGAAGAACTTCATGGTGGCGAGCGATGGTTTTTCTTGCGTTACACTAGCAAGCACTATGTCTTCAAGGGGCGACGCAGTATGCTTTTATAGCAGGTCCCTGCCCAAGTCCAGACCCACTCTCAGGGCGTTAGGCGGGGGTACGTCGCACAGACCCCTTTCACTAACCACGCGACCGACACCCTTTCGGGCCCCCTTGTTAGGTGCCCGCCCAACCGCGACGTCACACCTTGTCACGCTTTCAATATTTTCGATATCAATGATGTCACCCTTAAAGATACTGATGCTGAAGATCATGAGATGTGGACCATCAAATAGATGATTATCGTTAATCTTACACAATAATCGATAAGTGGGTATGTATATGTAAATGTGAATGTTAGATAAAATATGCTTTACTTGCATAAAGAACGGCGTGTTAGATCGCGATGTTAAATTACAATGATTAGATCGACAATAATTCACGCAATCGATAAGATTTTTTTTTTAAGGAATTACAGCGTTTCTCATAAGATTCTCGTAGAAGAATTGATTTAGATCTGATCTATGATCTGAGATAGACTTATCTATGTGTGTATATACATATAACTTAATTTTCAAATTATTTCTGCATTAGCAGAAATTAGCTCTACATTAATTTTTATCTAATTTTAATTATAAAATTTATTTATCCTTTACGCAATTTTATCAAAATTTTCTAAGAGGAAAATTGCATGATTTGTATTATTATTTTGTATATTATAGATTTTATTATGATTACAGAGAACATAAATTTTAATACATATATGTATAAATATTAAGATACATAAGTTTCATTATTTCTCAGCAATATTTTTTAATTGTAAAATTGGTTTAACTAATTGTAATGCTTAACAATTATAATGATTTAATAATTTTAATGCTTTAATTGTTTCATTTTTTAATTACCTAGTTCTATTCAAGCAACATTTATACAATATATATGCATACGATTTGATTAATAATTTATTAAATGCAAAAATCAAGAATGAATTTAAAATGAGAAACAAAAAATTATATTGCATTCTTCTAGCTAGAGGTAGGCTTCTATTATTAGTGCATTCTTCTTACAACGTAAAATTGTTATTTTCTTACATTTGTTATAACAAAATTTACGCGTCGAGATGTATTGAAATTAATATCAAATTAACTTATTTTATCATAACAGTTGCTAAATATAATAATTATTTTATAATTATTTCATTAAAACGAATTCACGCTGCATAGCAAATTTTTAACTAATAATTTAATTTTAATTAAATAATAATTAATCCTGTTTGCAAAGTGGCCTAGTTTATAAGCAGTACAGGCAAACTTTCATAAACTTTTAAACGCAACCTCGTACAATATATTAACTTGTAAACAAGTGCCTGTATCTTGTTACACTTGACTGATCTTGTGGAGACTTTATAATGTGGCTTGAAAAAAGCTGAGATGAAAATTGTAGAACGGTGTAACATGTACTCATTTAATAATATGTTACACAATTTATGTTCTTACATACGTTTCACACGTAATCATATTGGAATTTATTTCTTCCGACTTGGTTATCGTAACTATTCGTTATCACTCTTTTCGAAAGTAGAAAAGAAAGAAATGAAAAAAAAGAAAAAGACTTAATAAAAATAAGTATAAAAATAAGAATAAAACGAAGTTAGAATGTAACAAAAAAGAATGGATCTGGGTTATTGAATAAACGACAACGTAATTTCTGTTTTATCACAAGACGTACACATTAACTTTTATTAGAAAATAAATAAAAGTGTTGGTGCGGACAGTGAAGAAAAATAGGACGGGATCCGAGAAATGAGGGGAAAAGGGAAAACGCTCTCTTTGATGTTATGATGTCTTCTTCATATCACACACAATTGCCGCACGAGAATTTCGGTGTTGGGAAAGATGAAGGAACAGAAAAAGATGCGGATATTCGTGTCCATGTATATTTGTGTAAGGCGTGTCATATGTAGTTCTAAAGGTAAAATCAAGACGGATTTGTTTTATTCTTAAGTTTGGCTGCCTGGTCTGCGATCCATGAGTGGTCCACGATTTTTCGTTTCTTCTAAAGATTTCAAAATTCCTCGGAGATGCTGTTTTTGATGATTGTCTTCAATTGAAATTATTTGGATTCGCGAAAAATCAAATATATATATATATCGTCGACGAAGTTGTCTGCTGTCATTATTTTGATCAATAAGATTCGAGATGAGTGCCATTCCAGTATAGACCACTCTGGATCAATGGGTTTAATCAAGAGGCATCGTCATACAGGATCCTTAATCCCAGCCGTGTTTAGTCTTTATGATGGAAATTTCAGGTTCCGGAGCGGGGGCATAATGCTCAACGCCGACGAGATGTGGATGCGATACATGAGGACCATCATAATGTAGTCTAGTGACGTGATCGTTTCCTTTGATATGCAGGGGACCCGGATGTGGAGGCGGAATGGCGGGCTGCTGGGGGATGAAATGCGCGTGGTAGACATGCTGTAAATAATAATGAAATGATATTATCATTATGCTCAGAATAATTATTAGACACTTTCTGAATATTGCTTTTCTGTAAATGTTAGGATAATTATACAATTCGTAAAATAGAAATAATCAATTATATCAAAAAAATAATAAGAACAATATAATATATGTATTAAAAATATGAAGAATTAAAATATGTTAAATAAAAAATAAAAATGTATATTATGTATTAATTATATATTAAATGTATATTATAAATAAGAATATTCATCTATACAATTTTGTTCGAGATGCGATCGATCCATAAAGATAATAACTAAATTATTATAATAACAATAAATTAATAACAATAAATTTAGTTTTAAGAAACAAAATAATAAAGTTTAATTAAAAATTTTATGTACTTATGTATGTTATGTTTTTTGTGTAATTATAATTAATTTTGTAAATTTATAATAATATAAAGATAATAATTATTTTTTTAAATGCAAAAAAATTTTATAAAGGATATTTTACTTTCTTCAATAAAATATCAGTTACAATCAAATTTCTAAGTATTTGTAAAAACGAATAGAACAAAGGTAATCCAAGCTGCTTATCATTAATTATGCAACGAGAACTTGAAGGCGGAACAAGCGTTATGTAACGACTTGCCGCACCGATTATTTCGGTGCAATTGAGTCGGGTTTCGTCACCGACTCTTTATAGGTCTTCGATTAAGTAGGAAATCCAATTAGTTAACGATCGCGGACACCTATTTCATTGCCGGTTTAGCTGCAACGCATAGCTGCAACGTATAGCAAGAAAGATACGTAACTACTGATCAGATCTAATAACGTAATGTAACATTAGAAATCAGCCGATCATTAAACGAAAGAGAAGGCATAATCAACGACACGAAGTAACAATTTCTGTTCGATATCTCGTTTGACATTTTCCGAAAACTATTATTACTTATCTATTGTTTGTAATTATGTAATTATAGTGCTTGTTTTAGAGATCTTAAGCCATACTCGCTCAAGATTAACATCTTATCAAATAACAAATATTTTTCAACCATGTAATAAATCATAATTAATATTTATTACTTACTCATTGCATTAATTCATCTAATCGAATTTTCAAAATTGATTAAAAATATTATATATCTCATTTATTTGAATTAATATCAAATGTACATTGAATGTTAAGTGTCTTTTTAAATTATGAATACTTCAACAATATTTTTCCATCCTCATTATTACAGCGACTTTATTTTAACATTCTCCACTATCTTGGTGCATTACCTTCATCACGCAATAAATCTAGTCAGCTAAAGCCCTGCTAAACCCACAGAAGTGACTAGATATCTATCGCGTAACATAATATGGACTTCTCGATGAATAATTTTCTACCACCATTACCTTGCCGTGCGCTACGGGAGCTTCGACCTTGACGATTTTGGGTGCGGGTGCGACCCAAGGCTGAGGCTCGTGCACCACTGGAGAAGCGTGCACCACAGGAGCCACCCAGGGCTGCGCGATCTGAGGTGCGTCAAACAGTCTTTTTCATATAATCGGAATCAATCGCCTCGATAACACGGGTGTTACGTGAAGTCACTTTCCCGCCGAGTACGTCTAAAGATACTCGGTTGTCAGAAGAGAAATAGAACGAACCTCCGTAGTCCACATGACGTTGATCAATCAACGATGGTGTTTTAAGAAATGAGGAGTTATTACAGATTGAGAAAATTACGAAGAATAGAACGAGAATAATGTTTGATATAGAAACATCCGCAAAGACGAGAAGAAAGATTAAAGAAGAATTTGTTATTAAACGTTCAGAATTATTAGAGTTGCATACATTTATTAAATAATTAAATCTTATAGAAAAGAAGTTCAAGTAAAAACAAAATTGAAATGTCAAAATATAAGAAATTAGACAAAATCAGTCATGCTTGATGAACGATAATAATGATAGTAACGACTTACTTTTGAGAGATTAATTTCAAACTGAGAGATTAAAAAACTACAAATTTGAAAATGGCTGATTAAGAAGAAATAATTATACAGATACCTTGTTAAAGTGTGTTTTCTCATCAAGATTTGAGTCGCTCGAATATTCAGAACAAAGAATATTTAGTTATTTAAGAAGAAACAATCATCGAGAGTTGCTAAAAATTAATAATAAGAATGAAATAATTAAAGTTTGATTAATCACAAAGATAAAATTCAGAGAAATAATAGTAACGAGTTGAGAGATAATTTACATGGTGTTATTATACAATTAGTGTTACTATATGTTTACGCAACAAAGAGGAATAATAATATAAATTATAAATTATAAAATTTATGTGAATTTCTTTGAATGATGATTATGAAGTACTTGCCTCATATCCGGCGCTGACGACCGCCACAACAGCAAATAAAACAATCTGTAACAATACAGCAATATAATGTTGCGATATAATGCACACGCACAATAGCAATATATAATAATATTAGATATATATTCACAATATATTCAAAATATGTTTATGTTATAATATAATGAAAACTACAAAAATCAATTAAATGTTCAATTATATATTTTAAATACTATAAATATGTATCACGAATGTCAAGTATACATTCAAGAAAAATTTTTTCTTTTCATATAATAATAGAAATATTATCACACAATGATTTCATATTAAAATATTCAATGTGAACCATAATTATTAATAATTTAAATTTAACATAATCAAATTAATATAGATTAATATGCGTGTAATAATAAAATAATTAATATTTTAAATTATAACTTACATTATATATATTAAATTTTCTTTATTTTTTTTTATTTAATTTTGTAATATTAATCAATTGAAATATCTAAATCATAATTTTATAACGTAAAATAAAGTAGTTGTGATCTACATCTACGTAATGCAAAACAAATGTAGTAGAAATTTTAAGCAAATGCAGAACTTGTGCAACACTGCGTAACAGAATCCCCACGATCAATCGCAAAGGGAATCATTTTCGGGTCACAACGATTTAACTTTTACTTCCTCACGTTATTGTGAGGAGAAACTTACGAAGAACTTCATGGTGTGTGATGACAGTTTTTCTTGTGCGCTACGCGGGAAAACACTACGTGTCCGAGGGGCGACGCAGTATGCTTTTATAGCTGAGCCCTGCCCAGTCCCAGGGGGACCCAGGGATGAGGCGGGGGTACCGACTATTGCACTGCTTTGGATGCGGACCCCTTTCACCAATCGCGCGACCCTTTCGGATCCCTTATTGGGAGCTTGGTTCCAATCGATCACGATTTGTGTGTAATTTCCGGTATGTCAAAACGACATCCTTAAAGATGCTCAAGGATTATGGACCATCGAAGAGGGGCACTTGAAATAAAATGCGCACATCGTCTGATTCATACGAAAAAGCAGGTCGTTCGAACAAAGAACGTAGATTACGACACAAGATAACGGCTATCAAATCCATCGATAGTTTACAAATTTGAAAATAAATAACGAATTCTTTTATTTCGTAAGATTACGTGGGAAAGTAGATTTACATAAAACTAAATTATTACGTTTCGCAAGATTACATGAGCAAATAGATATATGCGTATAAAGGAAAGTAAAACTGGACTATATACTCACCGAGTGACTCCACTTTAATAACTTTTAAATGTTTCCAAAGTCAAAAAAAGATTTTTATTTACAATTAGAAAGTTGTATTTTTGTGAAAATCTATATATAAAACTGTTTCTACTGCATTAGTTTATTACATGTTATCATAAACATTCTTAATAACCATACGATATTAAAAAAAAAAAAATTTGTTTTCTACTATATTTCTTCTGATATTAGACATTATCTATTCCTAAGTCAAAGACAGATTTCACGATTCGTTCATCTTGTACGAAGGAATTACGTAACTTTGACAAATGGCGCCGCGACATATTCACAATTGTCTTAATAAGCACTGCTGATTTCTGATTCTCGTCTAAGATCGATCATTCCAGATCCAGAAATCACGATGTTAAATCGCAGCGGTTACTAACCCAGCATGTAACAAGTAACGTTCGCAAGGAGTCCGTGTATTGCAGGTGCGCTGGGCGTAACGCGTGCTGATGGAGTCGGCTGATTAGGATGTAACACTCTAAGAAAATGCAGAGGCAGGTTTATGAGAAAGAAAATGTTCGGGCATTTTTTTTCTTTGCGACTTGCGTAAAAGACGTACTCTGTGTAACACTAAAACAACAATTAACCCTATCTTTTTGCGCGATACCCCGCTGTAATTATTTCAAATAAGACATACGGCTCGCGTAATAGCTTGCAATTACGTTATAATTCTCCTAAAACAGAAAATACGACGCCCGTCTGTTTTTTCTTAGATTTTTCACAGCGAGAAATAGCGTTTAAGGAAAATTTGCCTTAATGGGATCTCAATTAAGGCGAATTCGATAGGGAACTGGGGAACAATAGGTTTCCGCAACATCAAACGTTCGCTCATACTCTATTATGATCATACTCTATTATGAATTTCGCAATTGCATCCAGTAAATGAAGCCTATACATTGTGGAAAAGACGCGTGGGAATGACAATAAAACATGCAAAAAATCGTAACGAAACGAGAATTGATTTCTCATTTCGATTGCAACGTATAAAGTTGACGTTACAAGTTGCTTCGTGTGCCGTCGTTTTCTTCGTGAAATCGTAATTAAATCTTTTTTTCTTTTCCATAATATGAAATTCTTCCCATTTATGTTAAATTAATTTATACGGAATATAGTACTGTTCAACATGGAATATATTTATTTCACGACGGTGAAATCCGTCATTCTTCATTCGACTCGATTAATTTCGTTCTATATATGTATATTAATTCCATAATAGCGAAATCTGCGTTTCTTTAATAATAGCGTTTAATAGCGCGCGAGGAAAACCGTGTGATCTTTTTCTTCTAGTCATTCGTTTCATGCCGGATCTCGGCCTCGTGTTGAAATCTCTCTGTTACGCTGAGAAATTGCACGTACGGTTAGCAATAAAACTTTTTAGAATTATTTTTGCTCGTTAAAAATTAATTAGGTAATATGTATAATAATGTACAAATAAAGACCATTTTTTTACGAATGCAATAATCTTTTTTTATAATTTCTGATAGAATCTTAGAAACAGAATCATATCATTTTATTTATCCTCATATAGATTTAACAAAAATTATTTTAAAAATAATTTTGTGAACGTAGATATTTTTAGAAATATTATTATTAATATTATTAACATACTTAATACATAAAGAACGATATCGAATTAATTAAATGCTCGATTGTATCACCGGCATCTAATACAGATTGATATTTCATATATTTCGAAAGAGAATCAAATTTTTAATTAAATTTTCTTTTATGCATTAATTCATATTTTATGTTTTAACGTACAGTAAATAACAATTGTTCCCCTTTACTGGAGTTTCTCTGAAACAAAGACATTCTCTAATCATTGTGAAATTGTAAACATTTCATGTGCAGTAGCTTTGTCTTTTAATTTTTAATGCACAGCAGTTCCAGCAATTTTCCCTTCGTGCGTCATTCACCCTCGGGTCTAATAGACGCGCGCTTTACGAGCAACGTTAATTTCGCAACAAGTGCTGACTACTAAAGGTGGTTATAGCCATGAACGCATTTAGTTCTGGGTCACATTTAAGTACATCTGACTCCCTCTCGCTTCTTCTCTTTTTCCTTCTCTCTCACTCCCTTCGAAAGCACGAATTGCAGAACTAGTGCGATTTTTGCGAGCGCGAAATCGTCGTTTCCGAGCAGTGGAAGTGAACGCCCTATGTTTCTTCGTCGTCGACCGCGCTTTTTCAAACTGATTAGCAATTACCCGCTAGAACTGTGGCCGACGGTCGCCTACTTACGGTCAGTATAAAAGCCGTGGTACTCGCTACGCGATTTACGCAACCCTGACCAAGCACGATTCGTTGCATTTATCGCAAGTGTATATGCGCGGAACAACCCCACGTGGATGTAGATACGTCGTGCAGCGGAATTGTTGCAAAACTTGGAAAGTTTAACGATTCTCATTATTTTGTAATGTCTCACGTTCGCTCTGTTTGGATCAGATGAACAAGAGACGGAAAGAGAGAGAGAGAGAGAGAGAGACGGACATGTATTTGCCGATGCAGCGGGCGTGCAAGAAATATTAATGCAACGCTCACGTTGCATCGCGTAGCAATGCCCAAGGGAATTTTTGCGAACGAGAAACCTTTACAAGTCTTTTAATATTTCAGAAATACTGTAGGGACAAAAGAGAACAATTCATAGTAACATTTTGTAGCTTTACGCTATGTGATAACATATTTTGTACGTAAAACATTAACAAAATTGATCTTGCTTACGTTTTTTTACACTTTTTATACTTAAAATGAGATAGATATATTTGGCGCTGAAAAGAGAGAAAACGAAGATGCTGAATGTAAGCAAATCGAACAGAGTGGAATAACTGAGTGGAAATATGATGCGGAATAAAAAAGCGAAATAATAAGTACGTAAAAGTATATAAGAAATAACACGAAAATATGTCTCTATGAGTTTTACTGTATAATTTCGTGCGATTACGTTATATCGCGTGGTTTCTTATTAGTTGGCAGGTGCAATATATGCAGCTTGATTAGATAATTGACATATGTGGGTAAAATCTTAAAAAAATAAAAAATAAAAAATTCACGTTCCCCATTCGCTTATGCACCACTGCACCGTTCAAACTTTCCCCCTCGGAAAACGCATTTTGCTGCAATTCGTGCATCGCTGCACTCGATAAACCAATCTCCTGAACGTGAAACAATTTTCGCTTGTAATACGTAATTCGCTTGTAATACGTTAATCGGATCATTATTTTCTATGTTAATATTTGTTATTTATTTTCATAATTTTCAAAAACAAAACATTTATTTAAAACTACATGTCAAAACGTACAAGAAAATATTAGAAAATCTAGAATTTTTATGCCATCTCCTAAAGTCTTAAATTACTTCATGAGCAATGTCGTTCTCTCATGTTCTCTTTCTGGGGAATAATTCCGCATGCATTTAGCAAAAAGACAAATACAAAGTCTTTCCGTCTCCGCAATAGAAGCGATTATATGCGGCAGCAGCTAATTATCTATTCTCATGTATTATCTCTTCCTGTGTGCCGAAAGTCAATCGCGAAAACGCAATCAGCTAGCAAAACATAACTCTAAGTCTAGATAAAATGAATGTCGCAATTTGCAATTAATAAACACGCGAATCATCGAAAGAATCATTTATCAGCAAATCACAATTTACGCATCCGACTATGGAAATCGAAATTGAAACAAATGGATAACGAGCAACGAATGAACAAGCAAACGCGAACATATCGCTTTATATCTTGGCTCGTTCTTCCAATTTCCACGGATGCAATCTCGATGCATGGCTGTTCGAATTTCGCTCGTTATTAATCGCCATATTTACGACACTCTTGTGTAATGTTACATTGTGTTCTCTTTATAGTAACGCCGCTGTTCTATTGCACAGAGAAGCGATTTCGCATGATAGCGCGAATGCGATCGCGCACCAAAACGAGAATAATTGCTGATGAGAAAAAATCGTTTAGACAGGTGAGATTCTTTATGTAAGATTGATATTACATAAGGAACTTTCATTGTAATAGATCATTCATTGTATAAGAAACGGAGATTCATTATTTTTAATTGCAGTAAATTGTACATGATTTAGTTTCATAGCAGAAAATATAGAAAAAGTACTTATATATTTTTTCAGAATATGTTTTTTTTTATTTCAAGTTTTGTTACGTTATATGTTACTACATTAAATTTAAAAGTCAATTGGTGCATATTTCATAATATATAAATTCTTATTTTAAGAAAACTAATGACGCTATTGACATAAAACTTATTTTATATCACAAAATCTTTGAACGAAGCAGATATAAGGGAATTATCTTTATATACAGATATAACAAATGTACAGATAATAAATGTAAAAAATTATGTAGCACTTTAGTACTAAAAGATACGTGATTACAAGCGCTGAAATTAATGAAGCATAGTAATCAACCTCGAACACGATTTCATTATGCGACCAGTTGTCTAGAATAATGTTTAATGAGATGAAAAGTCAACAGATTATTATAAGTCTTTAAGTTTTAAAATCGAAAAAAAATAGATTAAGCAATTGTCAATATATTAATATAATCAATATAATTAATATAAATTTAGTCAATATAATTAATATAAATATAAACATTATATCGCAAATATAATGTTTAAATTAATAATTAATACTGATAAATAAACA